CCCACCCACACCCACACCCCGCTTGATGTGAATGACATACGTCTGCTGTTTGAAAAGATGTTTCTTGTCAAATAAAACACGATCTTTATGCTCTCTTTTGGGTGTGGGTATGAGTGTGAATGTTTGTGTGAGTGTGGGTTTGTGAGTCTACTCTTCACCCACACCCACCACTCTCGTTCTTATATGACATCTATTCTAATTGTTTTTCTTATCGAGAAACATTCGATTATATGTTGCACCAATAGATTTTTTTTCCCGTTCTGTACACGTTAAACAATGGGGTGTCCCTCTTCTGCAATAGTATCGGGAGAAATATTATTTGCAATGATGCCAGAACAACAAATATAGCTGGCGATGAGTGAAGATTGTTTCTGTCGCCCTATTCATAGAAGGCGGTTCTTTCAGTTCTCCCTGTATTCGCTGTATAATAGACTCTGTCTCCGATCTATTTTGTCATTCTGGAATATTTTTACTTTAATCACACCACTCAACAGAAAAAAAAATGCTCGGTGAAAATTAAGCAATAGTTGTAAATCAACTCACGGAATAGAAAAGAAAGAAATGACATATAGATAGCTGTTAAAGATGACAGTAGCGTCTTTCAATATAAGCTATTAATAATAATTTTCTTTTGGTTATTCTCAACTGTCGTCTTTAGCAGCCATTTGAATGTCATTTTTTTTCTTCTCTATTTCATGAGTTTATTTAAAACTATTGATTAATTTTCAACGAATAATTTTTCTTTTCTGTTCTGTAGTGTGATTAAAGGAAGCATGTTCCTCCATACAGTACGACAATAAGATACTATAGATAGTTTTCCATGAACTTTCTTATTCTTGAGCCGACTGAAACTGCTAGTTTACATGTCATTTGGTTTACGTAATTTACGTAGAGGCTGAAGACTTTGAGATACCTCTGATCGAGAGTCTTACATGGTATCAACGTAATTTTTATGCTTTATTTGCAGAACTCCGTCACTTTTTACAATATACTTTCTGCATGAAGCAACAGAATAAAAGAATTTCATCTCAATTCTAGCAGCGACACGTATCTAGAAATGATGATATCTTTTGAAGTCAATCATCGTCTATTGACCAATATTCGGGATGAGTCAAGACAAATGCTGGAACCAATTCGGGATTACGAACAAGAACCTTTGTTATCCCTAGAGGAAGCATGTCAACCGTTAGAGGAAATACTCGTCAAAGAACTCAAAGAATATATTAATATTGCTAAAACAAATTCAATGGAACCAAAAGATGGCCTAACCCAAGATGAATCGGCATCGATTTATTTATACGCAATGGAATGGAATGAAACTGAAAATAGTCTCTATGCAATTCTCAATCGAACACTTTGCTTGGCTGATCGAACCCAACTTCGACCATGGTTTCGATACTTAAAATTATTTCTTACCGCTTTGTTTAAACTACCGTAAGTAACAAATCTATAAAAGTCATTCAAAATAATCTTTGTTGCTATTAGATCAATACCATGTCGAGTTTTTTGGCGAGGAGTTCCCGAAGATCTCAGTACTCTCTATTCTCTACGCAAGGAACAAATCTGGTGGTCATTTAGTTCTTGGACATCTTCAATTAGTGTTCTCGAATCTCCATTCTATCTTGGCAAATCGAAAGCCCGAACAATGATGTCCATTGAGACGAAAAATGGAAAACTCATTCGTACACATTCTTTTTTTCAAAATCATGATGAAATTCTTCTTCCGCCTGGTATCTGTCTTCGAGTGATTGATCAAGCCAATCCGACTGATAGTCTACATTTTATTCATTTTCAAGAAATCTCACCACCTTTTCCTATGCTTGCTGAACCATTCGATCTTAATCAACTCAAAAAGACACCACCAAAACTCTTGTCGTCGCAGGGGAATTTTCCCAAAGTGGATGCTTCATCGAATATGTCTCTTTCATCATCCTTCAAGAAAGGTAATTCAATATACCAATATCAGAGTAACGTCTATCGACTGCTTGGTAAAAGATGCTTCTAATTTTAGGTTTACAGAATATTTTTCGCTTTCTACTAGAGCATAAATGAGAACATTTTTAAAATTAGAAATAACAATGAAAGAGAGATGAAGTCATTTTCATTCTCGCAATCTCTCGTTATATCTTAGCTAGAGGAGTATTAGAGTCAAACTATCTGTGACATAGATCAACTTTTGCTTCGAACAGTTTCATTGAATCAGATATCGAATCGTACATTGCTATGATTGATCTAAAAATTCTAAGTGTATACCAAAACGTCTCTCTTTATTCGCCAAACTGATTCCTTTCAATGAAAACTGTTCGAAAATAATTTTAGGCCTTGTCATTGTGTCGATGGAACAGACAAAAACGTCGGTTTTTTTGTCAGTATCCTTAGAGTAAACTTTCTCTTGGTCGAAGTCTCACTTTAACTAATCTCATTCGATTAATTACGTCGAAGATCGATTCAACGTTTGCTTCTTTTCGAATTTTGATTTCGAAAAATCGAAATCTAATATAACAAAAATCAAACAAAATATTATCATTCTTCGGATATTTTTAAAATGTCAACGGGTTTCTCTCGTCTCCTAACAAAGAGTTCATGTTTGAGAGAGAAACGATGGAAAACCGAATTACATATAAAGTGTAGTGAAAAGAGTTCACCGTTAGAAAGGTTAATTAGGATAAAGACAGTAATTGAAAAATAAAAGATGAATGCTTCGTTTATCTCTTGTCATCCGAATTTTGTTTTTCTAAAATATTCCTCACAATCAAAAATAATTTTTTTTCGAAATCAAAAGAACAGTTCTCGTTTCTGCTTAATACGATAGAATGGAAGATGAATTTCAATTGTTGATTAAACTTGATGAATAAAAGAGATTTGATAAAATCGAATGGAGTGACTGGGTCAGAGGAAAAGAGTCAAACGATCACATTGCACACCGATCAATCAACAAAATTGAATTTGTCACGGTCTCATTCTAATAAAGATCGAGACACAAATGTAGATGATCTTTTGCACAGAACAAGATTTTTTTAAAATCTTCTGTCAATACCGCCGAATTGCTAAAGAGAATCTATTGGAGATAAACGAAATCTGTTCCGTAGAATTTCATTGGTTCGAGTTCGACTTCTTCAGACAAAATTTTTATTTCCTTGTTTTCATTTTCTGAGAAATTCTCGGAATCTTTTTTCTACCTCTGTTACACATGTCTTTGGAAAGAAAATTTCGCGCTAGCGAAAACTTTTTTCACTATGATGAATCGTTTTAGAAAGTCGGATTCTTCTCTTAGAAAAGTTGTGGCTACGGAATTGTGTAAGGAGAATTCTCTGTTCAATCAAGAAGAATTTTTGTTTCTAATCACTTGACGTGAGAGAGCGAGGTGAAAAGTTGATCTGGAATGAGAATCAAATTTCGACTGATTGAAAAAAAAAGAAGAAGAAAAAATGAAAATTTGCTTAACGATGATCAAATGAAAGCGTTCTTCGTGAGACTAAATTTTCTATTCTCGAATTTCTTTCGAATATAAAAAAAGATCGGCATTCGACAAATTGTTCGAATAGAGAATTGATCGAAAACAAAAATCCATCGATTGATTTTAATCAAACAACAAAGGCAAACTTTTATCTCACAACTCCATTTTTTGGTTTTCGAACAAATCGTATTTTTTTTCAATTTTCATTTCGAACGACTTATCATCTTCATCGACTGTCTTAAATTATTTTGTGTTTCTCTTCTACTTATAGAAATAAGTCAATATGAAAACTCTCGCCTGAAAACATTCATCGAAGAACGTAAACCTCTCTCGCAGATATGTTGGATTGAACAACAATTGACAGATCAAGACATTGACATTATAGTCGAAGAAGGTATCATCAACAAACAATGCACTTCACTCTGGTTAGAAGACAATCAGATAACATCAGTTGGTGTCTCGATCTTAGCCAAGTCATTGCAAAACAACACGACATTAACATCACTGTTACTTTCAAAGAATCGTATATTTGACGAAGGAGTTATTTATATTGCCAAACTACTATTGAACCACAACGACACTCTCAGAGAGCTTTTCCTTGAGAAGTGCGGCATCACAGATTCGGGCGTAGAACATTTGGCTGAAATGCTCAAGAAAAATTCAACATTGACTAATCTTAATCTACACGAGAACGAAATAAGTGATCGTGGAGTTCGCCTATTGTGCTTGGTACTCAAAAGTGATAATACCACTCTCAAAAAGTTGGATCTCTCCGAGAACAAATTGATTACTGATTCGAGTGTTGATTGTTTCTGCGACATGCTCAAACGAAATCGATCATTGGTGCTACTCTGGGTGCATAACGGCAATCTCTCCTCGACAAGTAATGAAAGACTTAAAAAGGCAATTAAGTTAAAGAAGAATTTCTATCTTTATGCTTGACACTTTTATTGAAAAATAAAAGAGACCTTCTATGTGTTCTAAAATTGCAATTGAAATTTGTCAATTAGCAAAAATCATTTGAGAAAGCAAAGAGAATCTTTCTCGAAATAAAAAGACAGATGTTAAAACAAAATGATTTATTCGTTTTTTCAATTGACAAATGTTGAAGGATGACATAACAGAAACAAGTCAACATATTCTTCAAAGAGCAACGAAAGACAACAAAACCAAAGAAAAAAAAACAATATTTGTAATTATATTTTCTGATAATTTGATGAAATAGATTTTTTTTCTCATTATATTTCGAATTGATAATCGATTATTTAATTCAATTAAGATAAAAATACAGTGAAACCTCCTTATTCTGGACTGTGGACACTTGCTTAAGTTCGCTATATGTTTTTGTTTTAGTCAATCAGATTCGCACATGTCTGCATGCACTGATTCAATTATCATGACGAATATACCGAAAGGATAAAAGAATAAATAGACAACAATACTGAATGATATTTAAAAATCAGACAGTAATGGAATAGACTAGTCAGAACAGAACAAAACGAGGATGAACGGGTCAAAAATAACAAGAAAGAGATAAACGACACAAATAAAAAGTAGAGAGAAAAGAATGAACGGAACATATATTTATTTATCAACTCATCAAACGACACAAATTATCATTTGAACAAAAGATCTTATTGATCAAAGATAATAGCGCTGGCAATAGTCTTTCAATACGTAAAGTAACGGAATAGTACTCAATTTTCAAGAGTAGCGTCGCCAACATCTTAACTCGTCATGAGGAATATCAACATGATTATTTGACTAACACTAATAAGTAGTTTTCAATAAATTATTACCTAAAGTGTTCTCAGATCGTCTCTTGTTTGAAAATAATTACCAGCACGTTCGATAATACACGAGTGCTTCATTCTATTACGATTTCTGCTACCAAACAATTATGCGTTTCTTTAGTTTCGTCTGGCTTTTCGTAGTACGAATTTATACGGCTGATGCCTTCCTGGATCGACCTGTCAGTATGTTCTGTCAAGCACAGAATGTGTTTAATCCATCAGCAAACGTTATTAGTCGATCTTGCGTCTCTTCTGTTGTACATTCGGATCTTTTTTCATGGCTTCAATGATACAAACTCGATCATAACTATCTTGGCAACCTCCTTGTAATATAGTACCTCACCCTTTAACTGGTCCATCATACGCATCTGCTCTCCAAGTATATTTAGCCCTTCTAGTTCCTCCATCTTCTCATGCTTCATCACCAGCATCATCCGATCAGATCGTTTAATGGCTCTTTTTTTTATCAATTTATCCAGCAACACTTTCACTTCGTTTTTTTTCTGTTTGGTTCGGGTACATCTTGTCAGGCACCATTATTTCGTTCCATATAATATTTCTATTGTCCGTTCTAATTGTTTTTTCGTTCATGTTTCCTTTTTATTCTCCTCGTCGTTCCATCGTGCATCGTTTTTTTCTGTCTTTGCGCGTTCTTTTGCTTTAGTTGAGTCTTTTTTCTGCTGCTCGGAAGGAATGTTATGGCAGGAGTCATTCTTCTTGCCATGTTCTCTCCACACTCTTTCGTTTCATACTATCACGTCCTTTCTTGGTTCTGTTGCTTATGTATTTAATGAATCGGTATTATTGAGAAAGGGACTTTTTTGTTCTCGTGTTTTTGAAGAAAGAAATATAGAAAAGGTAACGGTAGCAGATGTCATAAGTTTTTACATGAGTGCTCTATCATTAATGCTGACGACTGCAATTTATGTCGAACTATCATTTTTTGTCTTGCGTTCTGTGTACAGAACACGAGCAAAATAAACGATTTTCGTTTTTAAAAATACTTTCTTACAATTTTCAAGTGCTAATGACGCTCTCTGCCATAGTAATAGCTGCTTTGCCCGTGGTTTGATAAGGTATAATAAAATTCGTTTTTGTGGAACTCACATATATTTTCGAAGAGAATACTGACCAGGGAACACCACGAACTGATAAAACGCTTTTTAAATTTTAGTCATGCCAATTTGTAGAGCTTGTTGAGTTATTAACTGATATAATAATCATTCGGGCACACAATGCGGCTGTAGAGTAAATTTCTGATAATCAAAGTTTCCATTAACCTGTCAATACCCTATAGAGGTCCTATAGGAGTCCTATACTCTCTAAAAAAAAAACAAAGGTGTCATAGTAAACCTTTTAAGGTTCTAGATTTGGGTACCATTTTAAGAACCTTTTTTGTAGTTCTAGCCGAAAAATTCAGAACTTAAAAAAGTTCTAGCCATAAAAATCTAGAACTTTAAACAGTTCTACGCCTTCGGCTAGAACTAAAAAAGGTTCTTAAAATGGTACCCAAATCTAGAACCCTAAAAGGTTCAGTCAGTCAACTTTTTTTGTTTCTTTTTTTTACAGAGTAGGGTCCTATAGGGAGCCTACAAGGTCCTATAGAGATCCTATAGAGAGCCTGCAAGGTCATATAGAGATCCTATACAGATCCTATAGGGACCCTGTAGGGCCTCTATATGACCCTATAAGCCTCCTATAGGAGTCTATAGGTAGACCCCGTCGGGTTCAGGATTTTTGGACCTGGATTCTGGTTTAGGATTTTTGGACCCGGACCCGGTCGCTTAAATTTTTTGGATCCGAACACAATGACAAGTCAGTTTAGATAGTATAGTCAAGAAGGGTTTTGTTGTTTTTTATCTATTTTCTAAATACATTTGATTATCAGAAATTTACTCTACAGCCGCATTGTGTGCCCGAATGATTATTATATCAGTTAATAACTCAACAAGCGTGACACGACATTTACGCGCGCGACAATTGCGCGTCGACACTTACGCGCCGACATTTACGCGCACGACATATGCGCACAAGACGTGAACGCGCACGACGCTTGCGCGTAAAATAAAATTTTTTTCGTTCTGTTCTCATCTAATTGAATTACTCATATGTATTAACAGAAATAAAAATGTTCTGTTAGTGAGATTGGATTATTAAGAAAATACATAAAAGATACTAATGAGAATCAAAAGATTATCTAATTTTAACATCAAACTTGCTTTTTGCATCAAAATGAGATTAAAACTAGACAAAATAAATCAGATAAAAGTATAAAGAGAAAGCATATATATATATATATGTGTGTGTGTGTGTGTGTATTATTTTAATAATTTCTAAGATATAAATATGTCTCTTATAAAATCAGTCAAAGGCAAAGACCAACTTCTACTTGATGGTTATCGATACCGTCGGGATAGATTAGTTTGGCGCTGTGTTACAAACAACTGCAAAGGACGTGCCCGTTATGATGATGGAATTTATACAACTTATCAAGATCACATATGTCGAGCACCAGATCCAGATGAAATCGAAAAAGCATTATATAATTATGAAATTAAAAAGAATGCGCAACAATGTCATGATCCACCACGATTAATCATTCAAAATGCTCGTCTTAAAATATCATTAGATGCTGCAATTAACATTCCACAATACACAGCATCGCAACGTTCAATTCAACGTGTTAGACGAGATAAAGATGTTCAAACAGAACCTAAAACATTTGCGGATATTATTATACCATCAAATTATCAAGTTAATGCATTAAATGAACAATTTCTTTTATATGATAATAATGACAATCAACGACGAATATTAATCTTTGCTACAAAACAACATTTAGATTTTCTTAATGAATGCGAAAGTTGGCATTGCGACGGCACTTTTGCCGTAAGTAGTATAGGTATAACTAAAGTAATTTTAATATGTTTCTTTATTTGCAGGTAGCACCTAAGCTATTTGAACAAATGTATTCTATTCATGGTTCAATTCGTGGTAAAAAATTACCATTATTATATTCACTTCTACCAAATAAAGATAAAAAAACTTATGAAGAATTATTTCGAATAGTGGCTCAACATGTTCGACGAAAACCTGATTATATTACCATCGACTTTGAAAAAGCAGCAGAAAATGCATTTAATGTTATATATCCAGAATGTGAAATTCTTGGCTGTTTTTTTCATTTTAAAAAATGTATTTGGAAACATATTTGTGTAAGTAAACTAATTATTTCAGTTTACCTTATTAAATAATTATTTTGTAGGAATTACATTTAAAAAAAGAATTTCTGGAAAACCAAAATAATCGTCGAACCATGAAAAATTTAGCAGCATTAGCTTTTGTTCCACCTAATAATATTGTTGAAGAGTTTTCACGCATAAAAGAAAATGCATCTGATGTTTTAGATGGTAATAAACTTTATATATTAAATTTTTATTACGTATTGTCAAGTTTTAGATTTGATTTTGTATTTCGAAGATAATTTTATTGGAAGAACAATGACTCGCAATCGCAGAAAAAATCCTCGATACGATATCACTATGTGGAATTGTTTCGAAAGAATCAACGAAGATTTACCTCGAACTAATAACGCCATAGAGGGATGGCATAATGCTTTCCATGTACGTGTAACTAAACTTCTTATTTTTGTAATTAAGTATCTCATATTTAGAATGTTGTCGGCGATCATCCTAGTTTTTTTACATTTATCAAAGACATTGTACGAGAAGAAAAAAATACAACAATTGTTTGGAATCAAGTTCTTGCTGGCACACACACACAAACCAAACGCACAAAATATGAAAAAATTGATCTTCGAATACGAAACATGGTCAAAGAATTTCATACTGTTTCAAGGAACGACTATTTTAAAATGGCCAGATCAGTGTTTAATTTCTGAATGACTACGTTCTTTATTCTCAATTATTGTTCACTTAGCGTATTTGTTTATTTATTGTAAATAAATACTATTTATCTCTGTTAATAATTTATATCAATATATTTTTTGCAATTGAGAACTATTTTTCTATCAGCAGTTAAACATAAATTTCTGCCCGTTCATAATTCACATCAAATTTAAGAAAAAAATAATTTATCATCTTTTTCTCAATTCGCGCGAAAGTGTCTATACGCGCAATCGTCGTGCGCGTAAGTGTCATGCGCGTAAATGTCTGCGCGTAAGTGTCGGCGCGCAATTGTCATGCGCGTAAATGTCGGTCAATCCTCAACAAGCTCTACAAATTGGCATGACAAAAATTTAAACAGCGATTTATCAGTTCGTGGTGTTTCCTCGTGAGTGTAACTTTTCAGTCAAAGTTTTCCGACTCCTCACCTCCCTCCCCATTACAGACTTTATGAACCGAGAGTAAGAGGCGTCAGGCTTTCTAGAGTTTCTTGCAAAATTGATCAAGTTGATTAATATATATAATAGTGCTTATAATCTGCTATAGGTATCGTGGATATGTAAAACAGACTTATTTGTCAATTAATTCAATGATTATAATAATAAGAATGACAAATTAACAAAAACGAATAAAACAAAGAAAAATACCCAGCGAATAGCAACAATGTAAAAGGAAAAAAAATAGGGCGTCCAAAGAAAAAAAATAAGAGAGTTCTGTTTGAAATGCAGAAATTAGGGAGGTCTTTAATCTTATGTTCGATTATCCTGTACAATGGCGGATTTAGGGGGCGGGCGCTTGGGGCGATTGCTCCATGTCGATAGAGCAAAAAAAATCGATTTTTTTCTGGAAGAAAACGCTTACAATAAAGCTGAAACTACCTTAATAAAGCTACAAAATACATTTTATGTGAATAATCGCCCCTATTCCAGCAAATCGCCCCATATTAAAAAATTTTTGGATCCGTCGCTGATCCTGCAAACAATTATAGTTCACAAGAGATTTTTCATTTTATGTATGTTGTATTAGTTTAATGAGGCTAGAGAACATATGTGAGTTCCAAATTTGAGCCCCAAAGGGGCTGTGCTAACAAGCTTTTTTTCTTTCTGTCTCCGTCAAAAAGAGTGTGATGACAATTGTTGACGCAGTACATGACGGAAGATCCGATTCATGTTACATTAATATATTAAAAGTAGATATGAATGTTTTTTTAAACATACAAAATATAAAAATTGTATAACGTATTGAACTGAAAATTCTTTTTGGTTTCGATTTCAAATATAAGCAATTCGAAAAAGCATTTAATTATATTTATATTAAAACAAATGCTGACTAACAATGAATTGTATCGTGGTCGATTTGACAATGTACCTGACCGCAAATCAACAGCAATTAGGATCTTCATTAGTTCTACTTTTTCAGGTAAGCCCTGACTTGAATCGAACGATGACGAGTTTACGCATTCTTTCTTAACTTGTAGATACAATCGAAGAACGTAATGCCCTTATCAAAAATGTTTATCCAAAATTGCAAGAATATTGTCTCCAAACTTATAATATACAATTTCACTATTCTGACATGCGTTGGGGAATTCAAGATTCTGCTGCCGATGAACATTCCACTGTAGACTTGTGTTTGCAAGAACTAGACAATTGCTATCGACTCTCATTAGCTACCAATTGTTTTGTGAGTGTCTAAGACTAACTATGACAAAATGAATCATTTCTCTGTTAGGTTTTGTTAAGCCATAAATATGGAAGTCGAATATTGCCTGCACGCATTAGACCACACGTTTTTCGTATGCTTACAAGTGTTCTCAATGACAAGGAAAGTGATCTTGTCAATGAAGTATATCGATTGGATGAAAATCCACTCTATCCCATCTATATTATTTTACCAGTCGATACAGAATCAGAAGAATGGAAAGAAACTGAGAAACAACTAGTAAAGATCTTTCATACTGCCTCAGATATCTGCATCGAAAAGAAAACAATCAGTCAAGTTGAACGAGATCAATTTCACATTTCAGGTAAACTTTATTTTTAAACTTTTTTTTCGGTAAAATTAATCGATTGTTTAGTGACGGCCATGGAAATTTATCGAGCATCAGAAAACAATAAAAATAATCCACATCGAATGGTTGCTTTTTTCCGCGAAATAAAAGATATCGATAATTTTGATCCAGATCTCAAGTCAAAGTTTACCGATACAGAGGATCAAAAGACACAAAAAATGCTCGATGAAATAAAGACTTACATTCAAAATACACTTCACTCTGAAAATGTTTTCACCTATCTGGTTTGTTCGAGTAATTCTTCACTACATCAAATCAAATAATAATCTGCTTTATAGGTCAATTGGTTAGATAAATCGGATCAAGATATATATTTAACAACGTTTCAAGAGAATATTTTTACAGCTATTAAACGACAAATCGATTATCATATGGCACAAGTTCGGCCGAAAGATATTTTGTATGAAGAAGTTCTCGAAAATGCCATTCAATGTAAAATGCTCAATAAGCGTCACTTTCCATGCGAAAATATTTTGACAAAAGTAAAATCTTTTGTTTTATCGAATACATCACAACCATGTATTATATATGGAAATTCAGGTACAGGAAAATCGTCTATGATGGCTCATTTAATCCTCAAAGTTAGTCATATGATAAATCAGTGTAATAACATTTCTGCTATTTTGTTTGTAGATTCCATATTGGTTTCTCGATCCAAACTCAGTTTCCGTAATAATCCGTTTTCTCGGTACCACACCATTATCGAGCGATATTCGTCGACCACTAATTTCGATCATTCACCAAATATGTGCTCTTTATCATATTGATCTATCGCTTTCTCTCAATGATTCAATGATTGTTCAAGAACTAAAGCAACTACTCGAACAAATCTTTACTAAAATTCCGACCAACGAACGACTTGTTCTTCTTTTCGATTCTATCGATCAGTTGCAGACTGAAAACTATGATTGTTCAATATGGTTACCAGTGAATTATCCACAAAATATAAAGTGTATTCTGTCGACAATTCCAGTGATCGTTGAAACACATACAACACATAATAAAAAAGAGTACAAAATTGTCGAAGGATTAATGTCACATTTCAACGATGCTACTTTTATAGAAATAACGAAGTTCGATGAACATTTGGCGCAGCAGGTTTTCGATTCATGGTTACAACACGATCATCGTCGTCTTACACCACTTCAAATGAATTGGTTAAAACCTAAATTAAAATCCTACATTCCACCTGATCGAAGTGATGATCCGGAGCCTACTCCTTTGTTTCTCTCACTGTTGTACGATATAACTTTGACATGGTACTCGTTCGATAATGAGGCTGAAGATAATTTTCTTTCGATAAAAAGAACATATGATGCTATCAAATACTTATACAATCAAATGTCAAAGAAACATGGTGAAGTTTTATTTAAACGAGCTATGACTTATTTCGTACTGGCTGGTGGATTAACCGACATCGAATTGGAAGATATACTTAGTGCTGACAATATCGTTTTACAATCCGTTTTTGTTCATTATCTTCCACCGCTTAATATTTTCCGATTACCAAGCATCTTATGGATCCGTATTCGGAATGATATGCAAAAGTATCTTGTGGAAAAAGACGTTGACAATACATCTGTTATCTACTTGTAAGTATTATCAATTTTGTCTTTTTATTCAATGAAAAATATTTTCTAATTAAATTTCTATTAATAGTTACCATCGTAGTTTTGAACATTATAACCCATTTTCTCGTGAAATCCCAAAGCTAGAATTCATTCGACGTGCTTATTTTGCTGAAAATATTGGAAATTTTCCAAATTTGAACGATCAACCATTTGAAATCAAATCGAAAAAACTTATCAAAAAGAATAATGGAATTTCTTTGTTTGTTGTTAATCGATGTCTTACAAAACAACTACCGTATGTAATAAATCGCAACAGACAAGATTTTTTTTACAATAGACGACGAATTAATCAGTTATGCATGAACCTAACCGGGGATGCTATCTATCGGTATTATCCGGAGCCTTATTTTCTCTACGATTATGATTTTATGTCAAGTTTTCTTCATTGTTACAAAATGAGTGATCGATTATTGGCTGATAGTGTCTATCCTGAACTTCGATTTCTTCTGATAGAGTATATGGCTTGTTCGTCAATTCTTGATAAATATCCAGATAATTTTGCATTCGAAATTTCTTCTCGATTATCACTTCTTGTTGATGTACTACCCGAGTTTACTTACAATCTCCTTGAACGATGTTTGAACAATTGTTCGGTTCGTATGTTAAAAAATGAAACACAATTGTTTGATCCAAGCTTAATTAAATACATGGTTGGTACTGTTCACAGTCTTGCCCAGGTTTATCGTTATTCCATCGTACTTTTGACCGAAAAACTTGTCACAATACGGTCAGATTCAACGGACTGGTATAGTAAAATAAGTGAATATGTATTACCTTCGAATGAATACACATCAATGAAAGTCTTTTCAAAATATCTCTGTCTCTTTTCCAAACGATCGCTTCTTGTATTTCGTAAATATGGGGAACAAATTGTCATGCAATTGAATATTGATCATTTATTAGGTATTGAATTCATAGGATTTGATGAACAGGTATTACTTATTTGCTCGAAAGACAATCAATCGATCGATGTATGGCGTTGTTTTGATTGGACATTGTACAAACAATATTGGTTCGATGAACCCATTGAACAATGTTCTTTTTTTTCTGAATGTCAAAGTGCAATCATCAAAGTAACATTTCGAACTGGTATTATTCAATATTTATGGGTTGGTTTCTGGAGAGAAAATTTAAATGTTCCCATAACAATTAAATTCGAATTTCTTGCAACACTAGAAGAAAAACTCGGAGATCAAAGTATTTTTCTCAATAAGGAAACAGATATTTATTATTGTGAAGGACAATCATATCTTCGTTTTTATTATTTTCAACGTCCAAAACGTATCCAATTAAGAAGAATTCAGAATTTACCTCCTCTCAATCGAATCGTCTATAGATGTGAGGAAAATAAGTCATTAGTATGGCTTACTAATGAATCTATTGTTATTTTCCATTCGTGTGAAAATCATTTTATTATTCCCGGTGTATATCATTATTTACAAATTTGTGATAACCATGAACGTTTATTTATCTGTTGTCTTGATAAAAACACATTGAGAATTGACATATTCGAGTGGACATTCAATAACATGATACATATGTATCGTCAACTTGCCCGTATACAACTCGATCAGACAGTTTACCATTTTACATGTTATTTTGGTGAGAACGATTTCGATCAGAATTTCGAAACAAATATTAGGTTTTTTTTTAGACGAAGATTGGGGCATTATTGTCAACTGTGCATTGGAAAATGGTCAACTACGAAAATACAATGCCACAATAATGACTTACTTGCCGGTTAAATTTGCTACTCTTCAAGAAAATTCATCATTGCGAGAACAAATAGATTATTTTGAAATTCAAAATAATTTTATCGTCACGTTTGACCAAGCAAAATGGTAAGCACTCTTTTATATTAAATTTCATCTTTTATTATTGAAAAAAAAAACAAACAAATTGTGTTACAGTGATGTGAAATTATTTACATATTCCAATCGACTATCATTTGTCATGCATCTTCGTGTGTCCAATGCAATTTCTCAATTTGCTATTAATTCATCATATTTACTTGTTTTCGATTGTAAGAATAGACTTTCTATCTATTCGATTTGTTCCACACCGATACTTCTATTAGAAACAACTGAATTTTATAATGAATCCATTAAAATTCATTCACTTGCGTCGTCTTTTCTTATTGTTGATGGTGACAAACAACAAATTTTTCAAATAAATACTGATCATCCACTTGTATTACGCGCTATTACTCATTTAAAAATTCAGTGTCATTCCCTATTGAGCACTGTCGTACCTAAACGAGCGAAATTATTCATTCTATCCGATGATAATTCAACATTAACAATTTGGGATTTAAATACGAGAATCATTAAATATCTTCCAACATTGATTAACAAATCAACTCAAATCAATAAAATATACTCTCTATCAACTACTATTGTCTTTCATGATAATAGACAACGAATTTATTTATGGTATATTGATAATGGCAACCAAATAATCACTTTTGATCATGATCGACTTGAGAAAGAAGGAAATTGTCTTACTCTTATCGATCCTAATGGAAATAAATTATTTGTAGTTCATGATATCAATAAATCGTTGTATGGCGATATTCGATTGGAAATTTCACTTGATACATTTTGTTTGACAGAAGATGGAAAATATCTATTTGGAATATCTCAGAAAGAATCATTGTTATTTATGTATCGAATTGATGATTGGAAATGTTTAGAAAAAATATTTATCGATAATCTCTCACCACTTTTAAAGGTCTCAAACGATTGTCTTATTTTGTTACGTAACAATGAATTACTCTTAATATCGATCATTGATCAAGATGCATCCACATTGAAACGGTGAGATATTATTTATTTTCATTCTGTACCCCAAATCATCGTTCTGTTTCAGGAATAGTGATGGACCATCGAAGAAATGTATCCTGTTTGAAAATGAAGAGTGGCTAGATTGCCACAAAGACGAACCATGGATAATGACAAGTTTTGCTTGTACAAGCAAAAAATCATAACTAGACTGATTTTCTTTTATATCATGTTGTAAAGATCAAAAATATATCTTGTAAAAGCAAGAAATTAATAACACATATTCATTGTTACAATCCGACTGTCGAAGAAACGAAGCTAAAAATGAAGATGGGTGTGAGTGTAGGCGTTGTTGCGATGAATAAGATGAGCCACACCCACATCCTCATTATGAGTATGGGTGTGTGTACGGATGTGAGTGAAAAGAAGATCTACACCCATACTCCTAGATTATTAAATTTTCGACCTATGATTTTGCCCATAGAGAGATCTAATAATCCTTAGAATATTCCTTTGTTGAAATATCGTATGTCCAAATAAATTGGATTTTTTTTGAATAAGTTTGTAGTGAACATAGATGTCATAATACCATTACACTGGGTATCGAGAACTAAATGTCAGGATACCCTACAGAGTAATCAACTAAAAGTGATTTCACTTACACGATGAAACTTACGCCAAGGGGTAATGACTTCCTTACTCCATAAATGTGACTATATGTTTTTAGAATTGAGGAGTTTGAGTGAATTTGGGGTAACGAGGTGGTTACCCCAAATTCACTCAAATTCCTCAACTTTATAATATATAGTTCAGTTATAGGGTAACGACCTCATTACCCTTAGGGTGTGGGTGTGGGTGGGTGTGGATGTAGGCGGGGTGTGGGTGTGGGTGTATGGTGTGGGTGTGTGGTGGGTGTGTGGGTGTTGCTTTATGTTATTCATTCACCTACACCCAACCCACACCCACACCATCGATTCCTGATTCGATCAAGTATGCTTCATTTACTTGCTTATATAATATACCATCTGTGTATATACAAACACGTGTAAAATTTCTGTATTTATCCAATATTTTTCTCGGAAGAACCTTGCTAAACATAGATTTTAACGTAACATCGGGCATAGGTTTTATTGTAGATCGAATTCGATCGGTACGACATTATATATTATTTGTAATAAAATTTGAAATATTCAGTGCAGCTTTAACTAAAACTGCCGTTAATTTGGAGTCATCAGAAATAAATATAAAATTCGACATTGTAAAAGCTAGTGTAGCTGAACATCCTGAAGATACCATGTTCTATGAAGCATATAAACAATTAAAATCTGATGCATCTCAAATATTTCGACGAACGGAGGATGAACAAGTCTGGAAAGCAACCTATGTTGGTATGTTTAGTATCGATCAAGGCGGATCCTATCGAGATTCAATAACACGAATATGTGCTGATTTATGTAGTACATGATTATCATTATTTATTCTTTGTCCAAATGGACGAACAAACAATGGTTTGAATCGTGATCTATCGGTGTGGGTGTGGGTGTCGGTGTGTGGATGTGGGTGTGGGGGCGTGGGTGTGTGGGTGTGGGTGTGAGTGTGAATGTGGGAGTGTGGGTGTGGGGTGTGGGTGGGTGAATGGATGTCGATTTGGGTGGGTGTGCGGTTGTAGGTCAATATCTTCTCTTCTTCGATATCCACACCCACACAGCCACACTCACATCCACATCCACATCCACACCCACACTCACACCCACACCCACATCCACATATGATGTTTAACGCGGTTTTTCATATCCATAGCAAGATCCACGAAATGCTGAGGGTAGATGAGTATGTAAATGTAAAACGTCATGTAAATAGCGCACTACGTTGACGATTTGATAATGTATATCCGATAAAGAATTAGTAGCCACTTCTTAGTTCCTAAGAAACTATGTTAGGCATTCTGAAAGTTATCAAACAACTTGATAATTTCGATTTGTAAATTTTTAAGACCCTTTGTGCCTCTAAGTCGATTAAATCTTAGCTGCAATATGAAAAAAGTTAATTGCAATAAAAGCCCATGTCCAAACTTATAATTTTCAGAACAAATTAGAAGCCCAGTGAGCTTCTATTCTGTGAGGGGTTTAATTCATGAATACCAAGGAAATATGGAACTAGATAAACGCAGTATACAATTTTTTTAATCGCATATATGTGAAGTAATTTCGACAATTTTAACTGGAAAGTTCTACCTATTCGAAAACACTGTTATTATCATTGTAACAAACAAGTTTTCTATTCCATTTTATAAAATAAATAAAGTCAATAAAGATGGATAGGAACGGATGGCAATAGACAGGAATGGATAGGAATGGATGGAAATGGATGCGAATAGATGGGAATCGATGGGAATGGATGCGAATAGATGGGAATCGATGGGAATGGATGCGAATAGATGGGAATCGATGAGAATCGATCGAAATGTATCGGAATGGATGGGAATGTCCGAATAGTCTTTTGCCCCTTGCCTCACACCCACACCCACCCACATCTACACCCTGCTTTCAATACGATGCATTCAATTCTTCACACAGTCATAAAATGCTCCGCGCATCTGCACTTTAGGAAAGAAATTTAGCCAGAAAACATAATTTGGTCTATGCAAAATCTGATTATATCATTGGATAGAGCTCCTCGATTTGTATCTGGAACATGGAAAAAGAACTCTGAAACACGTCCGTAGACGAATCACCGCTGCTATTACTGGAAATCGTACTAAATTCACCTACGTCAAGAAATGTGTATCCTAAGTAATTAAACACCAATTTCATCTAACTAATACCAATGATTGATCTGTTCCTGAAAACAACAATTTGCAATTAAATAATTATGGGTGTGGATATGGATTTTCTCTTCACCAACACCGACATCAACCTCACAGCCGCTTCCTTCATTTCCATCACAAATTCCGCCTTTATTGAAGTCAACAGTATCAGAACGGCTACCGGTTACGCACTTCTATAATCTGTTTTCATAATATTATTTCAACAAGAAACCAAACTAAAAATCAATCAAAATATGCACAAAACAGTTTTTGAGAATATAATCAAAGAAATCAATGTTACAATTGGGCAACATTAGTATCGAGAGTAAAGCTGACAAAAAAGCTCGTTGTAAAACACTCGTTCTACTGGTGCGGACGTTGCTAGGATGCGACGATTCGAGAAGTAGGTAGATACAAGGACAAATCTTTTCTAGTGTCGTAGGTAAGATTGTCGTTGCTTTCTTCACCAACAAACATGGCTTTCTTCTTGATGTCTACGCTATGAGAAAGTATAACTTTGCTGCGAGCTCATTTGAATATCGTCTACAAATGACAAGGAGAACAATTTCTTGCAGTTGATGTTAGGTTGTCTGGAACGTTCGTACAACATAATCAATGCTCCGTGTGCGAAACATTTACTCTAGACGATCGTGCAGAGCATGCACCATTATCATGAGTCACTCTCTTTTGCCTTTTTGCATCATTCTATTGGCACGAAAAAATTAGTTTTTACAGTCATGTCTGCCTAGAATCCATTCGTCAATGGAATATTTGCTTTACAAGTCGTACACTTATTTATGTGAAACTTATGAAGGATACCATATGCCATAATTGAGATTAAATTTGCAATAAGTTATAATGCGAAAAGTCATATGTATCAAAATTGAAAGTTGAATTCGATTATTGAATACTTAAAGCTTGAAAAGTTGAATTTTAAGTATTTAAATATATATTATTACATATACAGTAGTCGCCATAAGTGGACGCGTCCTCTATTTTTGTTCTATAATGAGATTTGTTTCATCTTTTTGCTTTGTTTGAAGGGGCTATTGATACTCATCATCCGGAGTAAATACGAGCATTTGTATTCGTACTGCCACCAACTTATAACTAAATAGAAAATAGACGTTTTTACAAGGGGGAAACAGCAGAGACTTCAGTCGTGAAGTCCCATGAAATCTTGAAAGTCTTTCGAAGTCTTCTGAAGTCTCGTTGAAGTCTTATGAATTCTCATGAATTCTCAAAAAGTCTCTTGAAGTCTCTGAAGTCTCATAAAGTCTTCTGAAGTCTCATAAAGTCTTATGAAGTCTCATGAAGTCTAATGAAGTCTCACGAAGTCTCATGAAGCCTAATGAAGTCTCATGAAGTCTAATGAAATCTCATGAAGTCTAATGAAGTCTCATGAAGTCTTATGAAGTCTCATGAAGTCTCTTGAAGTCTCTTGAAGTCTCTTGAAGTCTCTTGAAGTC